AAGATGCAGCCATATTCAGGTCCATAGTTGGCATGGGAATCTACCTTGCTCAGGAGCGAATGGATGTGGCCTTTGTTGTCAAGGAGCTGGCTAGTCGAATGTCAAGCCCTACAGAGATTTCACTCCTAAAGGTGCAGAAGTTCGTGGGCTACCTCAAGGAGACCGAGAGTCAGCATATCCTGCTTCCTCTTCCTCAACGAGGACAGGGAATGCACATGAGGTCTCATGAGCTTTGGATCTTAGAGTCCTACACTGACGCTGACTGGAGTGGCAATCGAGCAACGAGGAAATCAACATCTTCGTCAGTTCATGCACTCAATGGCATGATCATCTACAGCACCTCCAGAGGCCAGAAGGTGGTTAGTCTTTCCTCTGCAGAGAGCGAACTACACGCTTTGGTAGCTGGCGCTTGTGATGGAATATGCCTCAAACACGTCATCGAGTTCCTCACCGGAGAGCAGGTTCAGCATGTGTGCTGGGTGGACAACTCAGCAACCCGACAGATTGCTTGCAAGAGGGGAGCTGGACGATTGAGGCACATCAGTGGCAAACTCTTATGGTGCCAGGATCGAGTCGCCAATGGATCCCTAGAAGTCAAGCAAATAGGGACAGCCTACAACCTGGCCGACATAGGCACAAAGCCTCTTTCCAAAGTTCGTCTACGTTTGCTTCTTTTCTGGTGCCATGCACGAGATGGAGATGGAGAGCGTGTTGGGGAAAAGGAACACCAACAGTTCCAGGAACAGCATGTGGAAAAGGGAAAGATCATGAAAGTTGCCAAGTACCTGAACAGGTTGATGATGGTGAGCGGCCTTGAGCTGGCTGCGGGAGAGACGACGGACATGGTGATGATCCAGCCCAATTACAAGATTCCTTTCTACATGTTGATCTTCATCATCGTGATTGGTGCACTGGTTTTTGGGGCGATGCTTCTTTGGAACAAGTTTCAGAAGCTTGAGAGAAGGGTGGACATGCTACAGGCATATGTCACTCAACTTGAAGCTGAAAAGGAAAAGAAGAGCAGAGAGGAGTCGATGGCTCAAGATTTCATGGAGCGCATCTACAGAGGTTTAGTCTTTGCAGGTGGGCATGTGGAAGCAAGCTCAGTGGCCAGCGCAGAGTGGGACTACCTGCAGTACCTGGAGGCAGTGAACAGGAGACATGAGGGGTTGAGACTTCGACAACGTTGGAAAGACCAAGAACGAATACGTGGTGAGCGGGGAGGAAACCTAGAAAGAAGTAGACTTCCTCACCTCACAGCTGACCAGAGGGCGATGGTTGAAGGCCGTGGACCTACAACCACTGGAGCTGCACCACGTGAAGGAGAAGAAGATTTAAGCGGTGAAAACCTCAGTGGGGACACTGTTTCAATTCGGCTGGACAACGGCGAAGTGGTCACTATCCCAGTGGAGTATGTTGAGACGACCACTGCTGGTCCTGATGTGGGGTCATCACGAGATGCTCCAATGAATCCAGAACCCGAGCCAGTTCCAGCTGCTGAAGGAGAAGAGAGTGATGAGAGTATGGCTGAAAGTAGTGACCAAGGTGGGCCACCAATGATCCACACAGGAGATTGGGAGCCAGATCGTGTTGAAATCCCAGCAGCACAGTTCCAAGTCTACAACAAGGCTGTGACGAGAGCAGACCCAGTGACACGAGAGGAACTTTTGAAGATCGAAGCACTTTGGTACCATGCAGTTCGGGTCAAAGATCCAGAACTTGAGAACCACATGTATAGGGCGATGGAAGATGCTTTTCCATATATGGATCCAGCAAATCCACTGAACTAGAGGTTTGAAGTGGATCTCATGCGTGGACTCACACTTCAAAAGGAGGAGTGCGAGTGATAGTTACATGTACTCACAGGTCATTTAAGATGACACTGCACAAATGAGAAGTGTACCAATCAAGGCCGTTGCATCTCAAGAAAAAGGTCCGCATGTTTCCATAATGCTAGTAATGCTATACTACTGCACACTGATTCCTATGGAAAATGTTTTGCAAAGCTACCCTCATATAGCAGAAAGAACATACTAGGGGGTCGTCAGCTACCCAAGCGATAAGAGGCAAGCAGCAGCACACCACCAGTAGACCAACAGCACACCTGTGGCAGACCAGCAGCACACCGGCAGCAGACCTGCAGCAGCCCATCGGCCTCCTTTTTTTGCACCCTTTCACTTTTCCATTTTGGTTCGGAGTCAGGGCCGTTGCCGAGCTCAGCATGCTTGTTGCTAGCATTTCATAGCTTGTGTGTTTCATTCGAGCTGTGAAATGTCATGAGTGATGATCGAATGCAGTGCAGTTTAGGCCATTGCATTGGTGCCATCAATCGGCCAACCGGTTTGTGCACGCAGGGCACACATATCGCCAGAACAGTGTCAGTCTTCCACTTTCACCCATATTATCTTTCCACTACACCTGCCACGAAAAGTATGCGAAAGGACAATTCCTCGTACCAAGCAATGAACCTCCTTGTGTATTTCAATTGACAGTTGGATTGAATATTTGTGTTGACTCACCCATGCAATTGCCAACTTCCAATGCACCGAAGTCACATTTGCATGGGGCGATTCATCAAATATGATGCGGACTTGAAAAACATGAATCACAGCAGGTTCTGGTTTCACATATGTCCAAGATGAAGCACGGTCGGCCTTGTTGAAAAAGTTTTCATTCACAATTTGTTGCTTTGACTTTGATTCGAAGGCCCAACTGAAATATAAGCTTTGTCCCATGTCGATCACAAAAAGAACTTGTCAGTTCAACATTGATGTATTTGTTTGCAGGCGCAGCCCAAATTGAGACTTCAAAAGACTCAACCAATGTTTTTTGCTTCTACTGCAAAACATGCTTGACTAGGGCAGATTGCATGATTTCGGTTGAGCCTGGTCACGGTCAAGCTTCAAACTTTCTGCCACATTCCAGCACCTCAAGAACAATTTTGAAAAAGAACTCGAGCGTCTTCAAAACCATCACACACAAAATGCTTGCGCATCAAGACATGTTTTTCCAAGCAAACATTATTTAAGACAGAAAGGAACGATATAAGAAGATCGCTTTTGATGATGCAATTGATGCATGTTGTTTGCCTTGGCATTTTCAGCATCATTGTTTGCGCTGAGGTCAAGGGTTTAAAATACTATTGTTTCAAGGAGTCTTGTAAGTACTTGTTTTTCAATATTTCTGCAGCATACCCTTTGCATTTGCAATGTGATTGTGGTTTTGATTTTGCCGGATTTCAACAACCTATGTCACGGTGGAGGTCCGTGCTGGCTTGCGATCATCGTTAATTTGAAGAAGTTGTGTTCTTTATTCTTGGGCAGAGATCTAATGCAGCCATGCTGACCACGCCACGCTTCACAACATTACGAATCACCACCGGCACATCTCAAGAATTCAGAATGCCACTGACAAATAGTAGCCACGGGCGATGCATCACGAATTCCTATGCAAGATATCGCCACATTTCAGGTCATCACAACGCTTTAGGTTCTTCATTTTTTATCTTACGCCCGCTGGTTTGGGTGGGTTTAGAATGTAATTCACAAATGGTTGGGGTGTTTGCAGTGGCCCAGTCTTGAAATTGCGAGTCCAAACGCCCTGAAGGATTATATTGTGATTTGCTAGATCCCATACCTCATAGATAACAAGGATTCTGCATGGACACAACATACACAAAAATCAAATTTATCCAAAGTATAGTCTCTCTTTTTTTGTGTTTCTTGTTAAGATTGTCAAACCTCCAACAACGATTGTATTCAATTCGTGCAGAATTTACCCGCATTGCACTTGGTGATTTGAGTTTGATGTATATTGTTTGCAGTTTAGCTTGTTTGTGGAAGTTTTAGCACATACCGTTTTTGTCACGTGGTTTCAGACGTGGATTTGAAGCTTCCCTTGGCCCATCGGGATTGTGAAGCAATCAGGTCTGGTCCATCACAAAATATCGGCCACATCAACCAATCTTATCATTGGCAGTGCTAACCGCTAACCAAATGGCAACATTTGTGTGGTGTATCAGTGAATGAGAGAAACATAGATGGAGGCAAATGTAAGATTTAGAGCTCGTTGGTTCAACTTTTGTGTACAGCGTACTAGAGGAATAATTCAAAGTCAGGAGTGGTTTGAGAGAATTCTGCTTCAACAGCGCACTGAAGTGAGAGATTGTATAATATGTGTGTGAAGGAACTTGCACTGAAGCAGACCATGAAGCAAGTGCGGTTTCACTTTGATTGTCCAGCGTCACTTAACAACGAACACAACAAAAAGGTGTCGGATTTGAAGGCTCTTTCTTCAATTTGTTCCCCCATGCCGAGCACGCCGCACAACACACTGAAGAATCAGTTGAACCTTGGCAGTAGCAAAATAACAGCAGGGAATCTAAAATTGAAGAACAAAGCAAAGAACATGCTGCAAGCACCGCCTGTGTTTACATTTTCTTGTAATGTGATTTGTTGGCACTCCTGAAGCAAATCAATTGAACCTTTCTGGTCTTTGTGAAGCTATGGAAACTGTTTTAGTCTTTGCGGAGTTGTTTATATGATATTTTAGAATAATGCTGATGATGCTTGTTACTAAGCAAAGCACTTCCAGCATTTTTTGTAGATAAATATCATTATATTCTTTCAATCATGTATATTTATTTTTGTTTTCGATTGCAATGGATTTATGGGTTCAGTTAAATGTGTTGGGCATCCTTTTCATCACTTTTGAAGGGTTGCGGAGGGTCAACTTGCACTGTGAGTGGCTCACAAGCGCAAGGTTGAATTCGACAGCTTTCAAGATGTGAGAAGTCACATGATCACCGCATGTGAACAAGAGACGCAGTGTTTAGATTGTCAAAACATAACAGTTGTGATTCTTGTCTTCTTTTGCTTAATTCGGCTCGTTGCCATATTGACAGCCATTGCTCCACTTGCAATGGGGGACCGATGCTGCCACAAAGCTTGTAGGGAGACTTAGTAAGATGTGCGCTTTGTGTCACAGTTCGGCAGGACAATATGTCCTGCTCTACACATTGTGCGCCGAACTGCATATCTCGCCAGGCTGAGATTGAATCCACCTTACAGCTTTTTGACATTGCAAGATAGCAAAATTGCAGTGCAGTTGTTTTGTTCTTCAAACAAAGGATGTTTGTTGTTTGCATTCTGGTTCATTGATGCCAATGTTTGATCAACTCGGCCAAATGCGCGCAGCCTCCTGGAAACGATGTTGTGGAGGACCCTCCAAGGCCAGTGTGTTTGTGTATGTTATTTGTTCTTTTGTGTGTGTGTGTGTGTGCGTGCTTTACTTTTTGTACTGTAGTGTTTGGAAAACAGTTGGTGCTGGATCCAGTCAAAAACCCAGCCTCATCTAATGTATTTAGGCGTGAATATCTGAAACATTCTGCACGTTCAGGAAGAATGCAGGTCGGACATATCCTGTGGCGGATCCTGTCGACCTTCAACTCAATTGGCAAACAGCGCACGCCTCTGCCGACCCACAGATGTCCTTCTTTCTTAAATGTCACAGGAAACAGGTTTGCTGTGCAGGAGTTCCTCTCTTGACTGCATTCACTTAGATTGCCGTGCGGCATGCCTGGCGGAAAGCTGCTGAGATGGGTGATGCAGGAATAGGCGGGGGGATTTCTGTCTAAGTCTTCGACCAAGTTCGATGTCAAATCTTGGAGGACCTCCACTTCCTGTGAAGGGTTTGCACGAAGAGGCCGGCGATTTAGTCGAGTCTCAGAGAGAAAATAAGCGGAGCGAGACAGCCAAGGCAAGACCGGTTGAGCCCGCAGAGCAGCCTCAGAGCAAAGCACGAGCCCTAGCATGGGATAGTTCGTGCTTTTCTCAGCGCATTTATCTCAGTGTTTTGAGGAGGATGAAGCACAATGCTTGTCTCAGCCTCCAGGAGAGGGAACCTCGTCATGTGAGCACATGCCTACGCGTTCATTCTTGTGACAAGGCGATGTCTTCAAAATCTGAGATCTGATTCTAGTCCGTCTCACCAAACGTTTAGCTGCTAGAAACAGAATATGCATGCCCTGTGCGCTAGAAGCATCAATCTTGAACTGGGTATCATAACACATCAAGGTTCATAACACTTTTGAGCTTGCTTCGTCTTGCCATGCTGCTTGCTCACTACTTCATAGTGACTCAACCAGACAAATTTATGAGTTAAACATATATAACCGGCAGGAAAAAAACCGAGAAAAGTGGCCAAGAACAAGCAACTTATAGGCTTGTTGGACAAGTACGCTAGATAAAAGGGAGTGAATGGACTCATTAGCGTGTTTGCCCGCATTGTGAGCAGATGGAAAAGAGCTTTCCAGAGCGAGCAAGTCTGATTCACAAGCAGCGAAGCAGCTGCGGCATGAAGTGTCAGCCTACCCAAGCAAACGTGTAGTGGACTTGCGAGTAAAGTTGCAAGCGCCAAGACTTGGTGAACATCCGAAATGGCTCAAAAGGATCTCACATAGAGTAGCTGAGCAGAGATCATGTGACTCTGGATGGATGTCATATTGACTTGATGGCACCAGCCAGTTAGATGACCTAGTTTCTCAGAAACTGTCTAAAGCTTGCTGAGGGAGTTTCACAAATAAGCAACCGTCATGTCATACTGATTCAGAAGCCAGTCTTCAAGTACAACAGCATATTTTGTCTGTCGGAGTTCCGTACTCGATGGCGAGTACTGAGGCGCCTTGGCGGCCCGAAATCGGGTCTTTCATGAGTCCAATGAGTTAAGCCTGAGTCAATTTGACGCCGCCTGACGCCAGGATTCTCGTCTTCGAGGTTTCCAAGATCTGAGGGATCTGCCCGGATCTTAACCAGGCCAACTTTTTGGTCTCGCGCGATGAATGTGACAATTTGCTCCTAGGCTGGGACACAGACTAGAGGCGCAAGAGTTTTGCAGTTTTATCCCATGAGATCAGGAGTTTGTGATGGTGTTGGGGGTGTTGGCTTTTAGAGTCCAGCCAGAATCTACACTCTTTTTTTGGTACTTATGTGCGAGGCTGGACAAGTGTCATGTCCGTTCCACTTTGGCGGCTTGAGATTAGAGGACCTATGTCAGCAGTACACCTCTGAAGACTCACCAGACCCAAGATCGAACCAGCTTGTGCAGGAGTGGATTCTGCTCCTGCAAGCGAGTTGACTCCTTAGAAAGAGTCAGCAAACGACAAACATAGCGGGTGTCCTGCTTCGGAACTGGTGAAGAATCCGCGCATTTGTTTTGTCTCCATGGTCCATGAGCAGTTGAGGTCACCATCGCCGACGTGTTCTTGATTTCCTTCACAACACGGTCGCGACACCCTGGGGATGTCTGGCTTTTGGAGAACATTTGTTACGCTCCAAACGAACCAAACGCGATAACCAGACCGAACGCGTAACCCGGAACGGAGGTGGTGGACGGAATGGCGAGATCCGATGAGGACAGTTGATCCGATAGGATCCGACGGGACTGAGACTAAGACTGAGACTTACTGAGACTGAGTTTGCGAAGGAACCCGGAGCTGTTGTCAGTCTCTTGGGTGACTATTTGGACCTCATTGTAGTGCCGATGTGTTTCATTTCTTTTCGTTGTTTGAACGCTTGAGCGTTGAATTGCAAGGCGCCTGTTGCCAGTTGGCGCTTTTTTTTTGGTGATTCAGGTACCGATGGTCCTGCAACGTCCATCTCTACGAGAAGAAGCGCTGCAATGTCCTTGCAAGCGCTGCGGCAATGCCTTGAAGGAGGGCGACGTAGGTTTCCTGCGGTTGCCGTTGGATTCACTTGACAAGCTTCAGAATCCTGCGCATTCCAAAAGGCAATTCATCAATTGGAGCGGCCAATTTTATCACTGCTGCTGGAGGCACTGGTATTTATCGCCATCAGCAGCTATGGTTTGGGAACATGAACTGTGGGGTGATCGCTTTAGTTGTTCTCCGCTTGTGGCTCTGAGCAATCAAGTACAAGGGGCCAAGTACACAACGATGCAATGCTTCTATCAACAGAGCAACCATCTTGAACCATGTTGAACCAAGACATGAGTAGCTCGGCGTAACCCAGAGGGATCAAATTGACGTTAGAGTGGAGAACTGGATGCCTCCACGTGGCTGAGTGAGAATGGACGAGGCCAGATGGACTTTTGTTTTCTTCTTCTATTTACATATTGTATTTATATATATATATATATTGCAATAAATTTTTTTCAGTCAAATGTCAAGCTTCTGATCTTTGTTTGGCATTTTTTCATCCCTGGAGGATCAAAAGCTCATGATTTTCCTGGACAGCTTAGGTGCCACTTTTGGGTTCTCTCACCCCCTGTCGCCGTTGATCGTCGTCTCAAGGCCCAGAGGCTGATGTTGACTTTGCCAAACAGCTTCTCCAAGCGCACGACTGGGATTTGCAGGCCGCGGCCTCGCGGCCTGGCTCACCAAACCTTGGACTCCAGTGAATTCATGGTGAATTCATGAGAAGTCTGGTTCTGAATGAGCCTTTGATTGGTACCAATCTACCAGCTAGCAGGTCAGCAATGTGGCCTGCCATAATAGAAAGCTGCCATTCTTTGGTGTTAGGAGCTGAACCAATGCTACCGCATGGTTCTGGAACTGGAAGAAACTAGAGAAAGACAGCTCCTTGAGTTCTTTTCGAAAACATGTTTCTTTATGACGGAATCCTCTTTCGACCTCCTTGACATCCTTTTTTGTGCCCTTATTTGATTCGGACATATCTAAATGGTCTGAATCCCTTTGCAGGCTGCACTCGAGACGGTGACTGGTGGGACGGTTAAGCTCTTAGATCAGCAGAAAGATTGAAAAAGACCGGTTGATCTTCCGATCAACACCTGTTCAACAACCGCTGTGAGGTGGGACCGTCCCAACCGCACGAGGAGGTGCTGTGGTCCCAACCGCGAAGATCCGTCAGGGAAAGTTTCGTAATTGGAACCGGAGTGTTACAAGGTCGTCCCTTCACCTCTTAGTGCTCTCCAGTCATCAACTCGTTTCCGACGTTTGGCTAGCTCCGCTGCCAGGTGGACGTCCGAGCTCCGCTCCGAACCGGCCGATGTCCGAGCTCATCGGCCTTTTTTCGCTGCGACGACGAGAGCCGCGGTGTTTTGGTGGACCGAGCCGTAGGCTATGTGGACCGACTCATCGACACAAGCCACGAGGTGGGTGAAGAAGGACTGAGAAACGGACTTTTGCAGATCGATTCTATCAGGAAGAGCAAGCTGTCCTGGCTTCTTCGGAATCTGCAGCAATTGAAGCTTCCGCAAGGCTTGGATCGGAAGCTGAGACTCTTGAGAGTGGCAAAAGAGAGGGAAAACCATGGCGAAAGCCACGCCCAGGGCCTTGTGATAGAATTTCATTGGTAGGATGAGTGTGCTCAGGCAAGATCTGCAGGATGCACTCTGGGCAAGCGAGCAGGAGTTCCTGCGGCAGGCTGACATTCAGGATACTGCGAATCATGATGAATGCTGACTTGGTGTGAACTATTCAGATGAATGTCTTAGATAAAGTCGCAATTACCTGAATAGAGCTGAGGAGTCCATCAGTTGACCATTTCGTTCAACGTTGCAGGAGCAGGCTGCTTTGGCCGCTGCCATGGAGGCTTCACGTGCAGGATGCTTAGTTGATGTACGTTGACATTGATGAAGCAAAGAAGCAATGTGTTTCGAACCCATGTTCCAAGATCCCACACAGTTTCACAGCCTTTGTGCTTCGTGTCCACTCCCGGTGCCTCAGATCAGCCAACCGGCGGAAGTGGGCATGCCAGGCGGTTCCGTGTCCTTGTCATGCTTGTCCGTGGCCATTGGTGTTTCATGAACAACCCCCGTAGCGAAGATGGGTTTGTGTTGGAGAAAATGAGGACCCCCTTTGGCCCACTAGATCGGGTCGGGCACGTTTCGCTTTCAACGGAGAATGAAATGAGCATCCCAATAGAATCCCCAGACAAGCCATTTCCTCAGGGCTTCCGCGGTCACCACACGGTGCGGCGACGGGGAAGGCTGGGCCGGTCAGATGAAGCAGGTGAATCAACTGCTGAACTGCACATGGAATAAGCTGAATATCAGAAAAAACAAGACGTTCAATTCCGTTTAGTATATCTCAATCGAATTGAACGCTTTTATGTTCAACCGGCAGACCTGGCAGAGGAAAAGGACGAAGACTCCCAACTCCCAACCAATCGGCCCAAAGAGTCGTCCAGGTCTCCGAAGTCCGCGCCACGGATCGGTGTTGGACTTCGGTAAAAACGGAGAGTTTCGGAAGGGATAAGGCAATTGCAGTCAGTCCACTGTCAGTCCACTGTGTGGAAGGGCTTGTTTTAGGAAACTTTTAGGGGGTGATGGCAAAAATTGCGAACGCATTGGATCGCGAGTTGAGGTTCAAGGCAAAAGTTGTTTGTCCATTTTGATCCCTTGCTGTTGGAGTGCAAATTGCACAGGTCACAAGCGCGCGGTCATGAGCAACGCATGAACAAATGTTGTCAGGCAGTATCGCTGGGGAATGAGGTGGCTTTACCCTCAGTGCATAACACTTGCTTGTTTTGTTTTGACTGCTTTGAGGTTGAAATGGCTAGTTTCAGAATGGTTGATTACATCATGGAGTCATTTGCATGACAATTGGACGTGTTCTCACTTGCTGGTGAACTAGTTTAATCACACGTGCTCAAACAAGTGACACTGTTCAGGACACAGCAGATGATGTTGCTGCGCCATACTGCAATCTGTTTAGGATCAAGCTCGCTGCCCACAGTAGGCCACGGCCAGGGCTGCGCAGAACACCTGTGAATCTTGGCAGCCCATAGTTGGATGCAATTCAGGAGTTTTCTGACTTCTCTCATTCGGCAGCTTGGTTTCCCAAGGCGCGATGACGGCCCACCTCAGGAAAAGCCGCAAGATGCACGGCCACAGGAAGCGAGGCTAGTTGTGTACGATTCTAAGTTGAGGGCTCCACTTTGGAAGTGTATTGGGGAAGGCC